TAAAACTCAATGTCCAGGACAGAGTAAGAATATAAATGGCTATATATAGTATATATATATATATATATATATATAGAGATATATAGAGAGAGAGAGAGAGATAGATATTGATAATATTAGTGGTCAATATATATATATATATATATATATATATATATATAAATTCCGAAGGGGATAGAATCGAGGTAGAACTCAATGTCCAGGACAGAGTAAGAATATAAAGGTTTCATACACTAATATTCCATGGTGATGAATTGGATCGTTATTGCGATAACCATGGAATATTAGTATTTGAGCCTTTATATATATATATATATATATATATATATATATATATATATATATATATATATATAAAAAATGACAAACATTGCCTTAAAAAATCATGGGTGATATTTTATTTCATTGAAGTCGATAAAACATGGCTTCAAATCTTCAGACCTGTGAACCAAATAAAGATAGAAAAAAGTATTCTTTGTTAAAAAATTAAGAACAGTAATTTCATATAGAGAGTAGAGGAAAGAAAGATATTAAATTATTATCGTGGCGGAAGGGAGGAAAAGGGAACGGTGTGTCGTCTCAGTTGTTAACACCCGTAATGACATAAATTGACATCTGGATTTTTAAAAAAATCGTTACATGAAAATGGCAGTTGGGAATACATTTGAAAAACGATATTAAGTGTAAATTTGAAAATCTGTCTGAATCCTTCATCTGTTAATATATTTATTCAACTTAAAAAAAAAAAAAAACAAAAAAACTGTTAATTTATATTAAAAATAGTTCTTGGCTAAGAACATTCAAAAATATTCAGAACCTGTTAAAGATTTCAATTTAACCGTAAATAATATCTATTCAAAATAAAAATATAAAGTATAAAACTATATGCATATATATTTCTATACACTCACTCACACACACACTCACAACCACACACACTCACAACCACACACACACACAACCACACATAAACACATATACAATCACACACACACACACACACACCTATATATATTCATTTAAAAAATTAATAAATATTGTGTCTATTTATTTTTAATAAAACTCTTTCGTGATCACATATAAGCTCTCCTGTTTCATGATTACAGACAGTAATAAATGTACTGCGGTTATATTGATTCATTACTATTTTTCCAGAGTTCTTTCGATATTTTTCAATATCATCATCAGACAAAAAAAAAATTGAGATACATATTCGATTTTGTAGTTAAACTAGTTACCTCTACTTATTCGGTATAAATTTTCGATAACTAAGGTTTAAAATTAATTTTTAAAAATGAAAACGCATTACTTGAGGAATTCTTTTAGATTTAGTTGAAAGCTAATGGATTAAATCTACTATTTTCGCAATGAAAAATAATCTGGTGTATTTAAAATAGAAATTGTATCGATTGGAATATCACATATTTGTTCGATATGTTCCCTGCGGGCATTTCTTACATTTTAAAATGTTTTTAGAATAAAATTTAATTAAGTTTTAAAATATTCAAAAAATAAAATATATATTTGTGACATGTTATCTGAGTAAAATTATGAAATCAAATCAAAGCTAAATTAATCTGGTTTGAAACAAATATTACTTATAGCATAAAAAATAGTTACAAGCATTTCTTACCGATGAGCCCTGTTTTTCTCATATCTTTATTGTCGTTATCGAAGACGTGTTGACAGCTAGTATGGATGACCAGAATTGACACAAATTTGCAAAACTTAAGTGAACGCATTTTTGAATTTTTTTTCGCTACCTAGTAATTTTTACAATTTAACATATTTTCAACAATTTTCCAATATTTTATAGACTTTTAGTTACGTTTGAAGATCGTTTATGGAAACATAATAAAGTTTAAAATAATATAACATTTTTTTAAATTAATTTTAAAATTTAATAACTGAGATATTAATGGAATGTCATAATAAATGTAGTTCAATAATTCATGAAATGTTATGGTATTTTATTTATTTATTATTAATTCATATTTTTTAATATCTTTTTTAATTTTAAATTTGAGACGTAAACATGCAATGAATATTGCATTACAGAGAAGCGAATTTCTCTGTAAATGTAGGACATCACTTCTACGTCAACTTTTAATAATTATGTTATGTATGGACTTCCATGGGCGCAAAATGGGAATTTCAAACTAAAAAAAAAAAAATAAAGAAATATTTTAAAAATCTTCGCGCCAAACGACATACAGCAAGCTTTTAAATTTTTGATTCATAAATATAATCTCCACTTAATAACAATATGAGCTTAAAAGAATAAAGTAATGAAGACTTTTAAACGATTTTTCAATTAGTATAAATTATTATAATTAAAATTTTAAAAAATGAAAAAAATTCTTGTAAAAATTTTATGAAATGAAGTAAGGAGGGTTGGTGGGTAAGGTATGTAAAAAAGATTTTTGAATATGCCATGTAAGTTTCATTAAAATCTGAAAATAGTTTGATTTTTGAAAGAATTTCCAAATTACTGTGTTTTTCCTCTGAAAAAAGGCGCTAAAATTAATCGTAAAAATGACGTCTTTCCCTGACGAAAAAAACAAAACCAAAAGTTTAAATGTTTTTGAAGTAATTAGAAAAAAAGTTTCTCTCTCCTCTTAATAATTATATAAACATTTTGACGAAAATCTTTGTTTTTGTTAAGTTTGATGCCTTTTTGAATCATGCTATGCTGTTTTTTTTAACGACAAAGTGGAGGTGCCTAGATTAAACCGTTAACAATCATTCCCAAACACTGATTTTAAAAAGTTTATGTTGTAACAGAAATTTTTTGTGGTCGAATTATTACAATTGGGAATATGTCCGTGAAAATAACATTACATTCACGATTTAAAAATTAAATAATATAAGGGAAGTAAGTTAATAGGAGGTTATAAATTACTTGTTTTCAAACTGTTTAGTTGCAACTTAGATATTATTTAGAAATATATAAAATACGCATTTCTGAATATTTGGATTATATTCATAATTAATTAAGTGAAGGGTTAAATTTTTTTAAGAAAGATAACTTCAAGAATTTGTAGTATCTGCTTATTAATTTCTTGTTGAATTATACAGGTATTCTCTACTAATATTCTTCTAAATTTTGAATGTGGACGGGAGATGTAGAGCAATGGAGGATGAATCATTCATATGTAGAGTGAGCCTTCTTGATAACGTTATTGTGGCATAACCAACATATATATAAGCTTTTCATTAGAGATACAATCTCCCGAGGGACATTTAAATTGATATATGATGTTCTTTTTTTTAAATAGGTTAATTGCTGGAGAGGATGTGTTGCGAATGAGCCTTATTAAATTTTGTTTAGTATATAATTAATATTATTTTTTATTGGGATCAGTGGTGGGTATTTAAATAATAATGAGTTTATTTTAGGATTTTTTTCACTTTTTTATATTTATAATGCATCTAATTACGATATACATGATTTATATGTTTAGAATTATTTGAGTAATTTTTCTATTTAATTATATAAAAATTTCTAATAGGTCACCTTATTTGTTCATCAACAATATAGTTAGGAAAGCGATTATTAATGAGAGTTGTTTAATGTCTTTTAGTTCAATGTAAAAAAAATATTTTTATCGACGAGTTAATATTTGCACGATTTATTACATTTTGTATAATTACTATTTTGTAGTCAGATATTCGAACTTATAATTAAGTGTGCACAAGTTCATTGGATTATAATTGGTGCAAAGTTTATGGTTAAGGGTGTGTGTGTGTGCGGTAATTATTTTAATATAGAGTGTATCTGTAAAGGAAGACACTGAATAAAAAGACAGAAGAAAAACTATTTTTAGATAAACACATAGTGACTGAGAGAACTCGATTCGATTTACCAAAGAGTTTTGCATTATTAGCCGTAACAGCCACTTTTTACAAACCCACACTCTCTCCCAGAGGGCTTAACCGAAATAAATTTTTCCGGAGCATATGTATATATATATATATATATATATATATATATATATATATATATATATATATATATATATATATATCAAATGGATTAAATCAGTGACAATGTTGTCATTGTTTACGTTAAGATATGTTCCGTAGAGCACAAATGATCGATCAAGGAAAATCGTTGAAAGTGTGTTTATAAACAGTAATTCGGACATTGCAAACTACACGCTTCGATATATTGTGTATTTAGGCAGTAAATTTCCTTAATATATTAGTTAAAAATTTCTTCAGGAATTAACTTTGGACAATTATTTTTCAGATTCCTTGTTTGAGATAAATTAATCGTAATTTGGAAAAGGTATTTAAAAATAATCATCGTTTTCACCATGCACTCACGCGCGCGTGAACACACAACCCTACACACACAACACACCCACGCATATATATATATATATATATATTTATATATATTCCACTAATATTAATATAATTAAATTAATGAATTGACGAATTGGACAATTATCAAAACGGCTTTATTGGGTTTTATTGTTTTCTGACTTCTTAATGTCATGTGCATGACGAGGATAGTTAAAATAAAAAAAAAAAGAAAAACGGTTTTTTACTAATACTGATAAATTCGGTGATAACCATTTTAAGTGAATTGCAAAAGACAAGAGAATATTCATAACGAAATAATGAGAAGTTTTCAGAAATTATTGTTTTGCTTATCCTACAGATTGACTAACCAAATCAAACTGATTATTCTGGTAATGTCTCATTAATAACTCAAGAATTATAAAACATGGCGGATGGTTGAGGATATTCCCAAGAGAATGCGCCGTTCCTATACAAACGCTGCATAATCCGGTTAGCCTAGCGACTGTACAAAAACCATTGGACAATTAAATATGATTTGGTTTCTGAAAAAAATTCTGCTTCACAGAATGGCGTCAGCTATTTTTGAAATGGCGAGTCTCATCAAAGTTGCATCGGATCAAATTTGTTTGGCGTGAGGTCAGACGTCCGGAATTCTAGACTGACCGACATCATTACTAAAGTCTGATTTGTTAACCACAGGGGAAAATACATTCCGTGCGTTTGAGTTGAGAGAGAGAGAGAGAGAGAGAGAGAGAGAGAGAGAGAGAGAGAGAAATAGACAGATAGAAAGAGAGGGAGAAATAGACAGATACTGAGAGAAAAAGCTGAAATCACAGGATTTCTAAAGTCTGATCATCATAATAATGAAACACTTAAAAGTTTCAATCGTACTACATCAATACTAAATTTATTCAGTGTTTTCATTTGTACTCATTGATCTTTACACACCCGCACACGCGCACTCAAGCACACATACATACATGTATGTGTTCTGCATATATCTAAGTATAGAATAATATAGTATAGAAAGTTCTAGACTAGAAATATTGATTTTTATGCACACACATATATATATATATATATATATATATATATACATACACACATATATATATATATATACACACATATAAAGATATATATATATAAATAAATATATATATATTATATCGATAAGATAATTAAAAGAGCTGATTTACATATATATCAGTAAATATAATTTTATATCAGATATATACAAAGTTATATATGTATAGATTTTCTGTTGTATTGTTTTCATTTAAATAATATTAAATGATTTACAATGATTACATATCTGACTATTATCTATCAATCTTCGTCTCTCTCTCAGTCCCGCTCTTTCTCTCTCTCTCTGTTTCTGTGTCTATCTTTGCGTGTTTTTCTCTCTCTGTCTCTTTATATATATATATATATATATATATATATATATATATATATATATATATATACAGATAACAATATACAATTATTGAAGATAACAAATATACAAATATGCAGATAACAAATATACAATTATTGTAAAACATGTACCTGTATCATCGATTTATCTACCCACTTCTCACTCTTTCTCTCTCTCTCTCTCTCTCTCTATATATATATATATATATATATATATATATTCACGAATTATTCACACAAAAACAAATGCAAAGGTTAATGATTTAATTGGCGAGAAATTCATCGTCGCAAACAATTCAAATAATATACAAAAACCTCCGAATCCGTTATGAATGAAAAGATCCTTGTTTCTATAAATTTCTGCCGCATTAGTTCTTATTTTTACTCCAAGCTTTCGTCTGTTCCTACAGACATCTTCAGGTATGGAATAGATGTTCTTGTTTTTTCCCTTAGTAATAAGAGGACAACGAAAATAAATGTATTGTTGTATCCGAAAATGCTATTGGAAATGAGTTATTGTTTTTGGAGCGTGCAGTAGCAACGCTGAGTTTGATTTTAAATTTTTTACAGTTGTGCGTTCATGTACAAATATGGTGATAAACGAATTTTTTACTGGTAAATTTTCTGTCAAAGTGGCATGAACTATATTGTTCAATAATTACAGTAATGTCGCACTTATTATCCAAAAGTCGCACTATATATATATAGGAGTAGATAGATCGATGATACGGATCATGTTTTACAATAATTGTATATTTGTTATCTGCACCCCGTTTGTTTTTTGTTTACAAAAAAGCGTATCTTCTAAATGCAGATTTTGACGGATCACAATCATCGCCTAAAACCCTTGACTATATTGATATACTCATTCATTCATTTTTTCTAAATATAACGAAGAAAGTGACTGTGAATGCGTGCTGAGACCCAAATATTTTCACTTTCACGCACAGCCATTACAGAAAAAGGAACTCATATGAGTAGCAATTCTGAGGGCCAAGATGATTCTTTATGAAAATAGTCAGAGGGAAATGGTCCGAAAGATTCAAGACGATAGAGGAAACGTCCATTTACAACGGACATATACAGAATATTATCTTCTGAACATAAAACGCTTCCAAACTAGAATCAGTTGCGCTACTATAAAAGAGGACCAAGCTGGGTTTTATTCCTTTGAAAACCGAACAAAATGGTTACGCAACAATGTATCACGAAAATTGGACAATAAAAAAAACTTTCTCTTTGATTTTTGTTGCGATATTCGGTTGCTTGTTCCAGAATTTGAATTAAATAACATGGATCTATGAAACCATCCTATCTTGTATCTTATTCTTTTTACTAGGCTGATCGTGGTATAATGATATGGGAACTTTTAAATTCTTGTCTAAGTATCGTGAACACATATTTGAATTTATGAATAGATTGCATCGTGGATATGACTACTCCCATCAAGTCAACGCAGAGTGTCGCAAATAAAAATAATGGCGGATTGGTTCATGAAAGACCACACAGTTTTCTGTGTTAAAGTGGCCTCCACAGTCACCGGAGTCCATCCGATAGGGTGGTTTCAGTTTCGATTTTCTTCTTAAATGTGGGTGTTATTCTCTATCTCTCCTTTTATGTTGGCCGTTTATATAACTTCTTATCGGTTTATGCCTCTTGTTTATATATCGAGTTCAACTTGTTTCCCTTTCTTTTTTTATATAGTTGCTTCCATTGACAGTCGTTTAAGCTTGATTCTACATTTGGTGGGTTTCAATTACACTGGTCAACGAAAAAAAAATTAAAATGGTGTCGAGACAACAATCATCTTTTTTAGCTAATTTGAGCGCGTTGAATCTGAAAATGACATCACATTTTCCTTGGTTAGCTATCGTTTTTGCTGCAAAGAAATGCCTCATTTTTGGGAGAAAAAAACATGTTTCGTTTTCTGCATATATGATATTGACCGATGGTAATATCTCTCAAAATAAAATCGTAGAAACCAATAAATATTTGTCTTCTTATTGAGACATACTATTTTTCCAATAACAATCAGACCGTAAATCTTTAAAAATAACACGATTTAATATGCCAACAAGTATTTTTATTAAATCCTTTAATATACTAACAGCAGAAAAAAAAAACCCAAAACTTCGTGAACATAAGAAATATGGTAAGAATTTTCTCTTTCTTGTTTGTCTTTTATGTTCAATGTTATTTAATTCCGTTTGATTCTCTAGTTTCATGTACATTGGGATAGGTGCATTCAATTGGAATGGTTTTAGATACAGTTTCTTTCCAAATGTGAAAACAAAATGCTCTCAGTGAGCTTGGTTTCCTTCCGTAGTGAAGGGATAAAAGTGATGGGATAAATATATGAATATCAAACAGAAAATTTTAGGGTTTCATTTTTTTGATGTCACCTTAATAATCCTTTTTAGTAGTGCATTGCTCTTCGGCACATGTATTTTAGAATATTTTACTTATGAAAAATCATATTTCAGGTGGCTGACTTAAATTGCTCAGTCTACCTGAAAAATTGATGAGTTTCTACGACCTTTATTCAATAAATATTGCGTTCAGCCAAGATCGTAAATTCCCAAAACGCAAAATTTCAGTAAAACAGAAACGGTAGGTAACCATGAAAAATTAAGGTCATTTTTGGAAACAACACCATCAAATTAGCTGAAAAGAAAAACTGTTTGGGTTCTTGGCACCAAACATCGTGTTATCGAGGCTTTGGAATTTGTGATCTGAGATTTAATTTGGTTGTCTTTTAACGTGAACCCAGTACCCATTCGTAGGTCAGCAAAGATGAAATCCTTTTCGATCAATGTTTTCAATGGACATAAATGTTGATTTTGATTTTTAGTTTTGTCTCGTCTGAATCATATACGAAAAGCGTGAATGCAACTGTTACGCACCAACATCTTCCTTTAGGTATGATTGCTTGTGTTTACATTGGACATATACATTTTGAAAGGCATGAATCAACTTCTCCCTGATATTTATATATAGCTTGATATCTCCTTACTGTGTTCTACTATGTTTGACAAGAAAGAAATTCGAGTGGAAATCACCAATCATCTAACTTCTCTGAACAGATAATGGCACTAATATTTGGGATTCTGACAGTGAAACATGCCAGGAGGTCCAAATCTTTTGGTTAAACTGTTAATAGGCAAGGGAATGCATATAGCCGTGTTAATTCCCACTTTTAAAAAACCTTTTAACCTGACAAGGGACGCGAATTATCTTTGACAGGCATGAACTCTGTATGAAAGAATATTTTGTTATTTTACATTGTTCATTGCAATTACTACGGGCTAAAGTTAGACTTATTAATCACTGCTCTGGAGAATTCTATCTGTTGTGGATTCCGGGTTGAAATCCGGTACCAATAAATAACAAACGCCAGGAATGAATATATGAAAATAATGTATGAACGTAATAATACAAACTGGTAAAGCAGGTTAGTAGTTCCAAGAATACGGGTTAGTAGCAAAATATATATACAGTCTTTGATATTGAAGTATCGCTGTATGACTTCTTACTGAGTCTACGTGCTCGCTCACTGTGACTCCTTTCAACGCTGTTACCTCACCCCCTCACTCTTCCGGTTACCTACAACCTTTTACTCTGTCACTCTAGACTCGACTCTTCGGTCTTGCTCTCTCGGGTCTTCACGAAGCCGTATTATATGTATATACTGGGTGAGTCCATTTGTGTAAAAAGGAGAGAACCCCTCAACACTATCAAAAAAAGGGTGTCAGTGTTAAATCAAAAAGGGGGTATAATGATGCCGTAATATTCTTCATTATAAAATGCAAATATATTTCCAGTGTTTGAATTTGTATTCTGTGTAAATTATTTATGATGTTAAAAATTGTCGAAATTACGAAATTTTTTAAAACCTTCTCGGAATTTCAACAATTTTTTTTTTATTTTTTATTTGCCATCTGTTTTATGAAGTCCTTTCATGGAATCATGCAATATCAGAAACATGTGTTGGGCAAATAAAGATAATTGTCACCGTTTTTAATTTATGCATTTTGAAGATATTGTCGCTCCGAATTCTTTAGGGCCAGGTTATATTTATTCTTAAAAATACTTATTATTTTATTCTTAAATAAATCCGAATCTCCTCTCGCCAGTTTATAAATATTTAAATCCTGAGGAAATCGCTACGTTTCACCAATGGAATAAAAATAAGAAATTGCTTAAGAATCGAAGCTTAGAATTCGCTGGTACAAAGAATGTTCGTAATACTTTCAGATTCCGGCCGTATGACCTCACGACACGAACCGGAATGGCTTTGTCTGAGATTTTCTTCAGATCTTCCAAGTCTTTCAAACGAAAGCTCATTCAAAGGATATCAATTAGTTCCACTCAGATAGCAAAAAGTTTAATTAT